ACATCCCAACACCCACCCGCAACTTGTTGGCAACACCCAGCTTGGCGGCGATAACGACCATAACGCTGACGCTGGTGGTGTTGATGGTGTCCGTCAGGACGACCTCGGTGGCGACGATGGTGACGGAGATGAAGTTGATGGTGATGATAACGACCAGGCAACGATGACGCTGTAGATGATGATGACGATGGTGCTGGTAATGATGATGTCGATGCCGAAATGCCCGCGCACAGAAAAATGGTGGGGGCGACGACATCGACGATGACGATGACGGCGGCAGTGATGTTCCCGACGATGATGATGATGAGAATGATGATGATGCTGATGATGATGATGATGATGATGATGATGGTGGTGGTGGTGGTGGTGATGGTGGTGATGATGATGATGACGATGATGATGATGATGACGATGACGACGACGACGACGATGACGATGATGCTGATGCTGATGCTGATGATGATGATGGTGGTGGTGATGATGATTATGTCGTATGACGATGGCGATGCTGATGCCGATTGTGCTGCTGCTGCTGATGATGATGATGACGAGAAAGCGCCCGCCCGGAGGAACCCATTGGTTTTTCGTATGGTTTGAACGCATGTGTTGAAATTGTGAGACAATCTCGATCTGCGCGCGGAGCGGAGGCGCGACTTGGTGTTGCAAGGAGTTGCAAGTAGTTCGATCTGGTGTTGCAGGGAGTTCGATCTGCGCGCGCGGCGGAGGCACGCGTGTGGCTCTTATTTTGCAGAGTTGGTGGGCGCGTGATGCTTGTTGAACCTGTTCGACGTGCGCGCAAGCAAGTGGCCCGCGTGGCCCCCCACTTAGCATAATGACTAAAAGCTAAAAGCCATTGGTTCTCTGAAGGGTTCAGCGGGCGCGCGCGCAGAAGTCCGGCTTCTGTTTTTTGAGAAGCAATGTTTTGTAATTGTTGTACAGTTCTTGAACCGCCCGTTCAAACGAACGAATGGTGTTTGACGGGTTTTGACGCGCGCGCGGCAGCGCGAGCATGTGCCCCGTAATGCGCATTTCCTTCGACGAGAACAGTAATGACAATGATGATGGTGATGGCGACGTCGGTCGTGATGAAGACGACGATGGTGGTGGTGAAGAAGAAGAAGAAGATGATGGCGACTCTCATGACGTCCATGGCCTCAGAGGCACAGCTCGCATGGCGTACTCGCTTTCAAATCGGCACGCCGTCACACGTTTCGACCCCCATAGGGAGGGCCACCTACGGACCCAAGACAGCTCGCATGGCGTACCTGTCCCATCGGTGTATTCCTCACACGTTTCGTGGCCCCATTCGGAACTCCACCTGTGGCCACCGCGGCACAGCCCGCATGGCGCGCTCGCCCGAAATTTGGCTCACTGTTCACACGCTTCTTGCCCCCATAGGCAACTCCACCCATTGCCACAGTGTCACGGTTTGCATGGCGCACCCGCGCACCAATTCGACGCACCCTTCACGCGCGTCGTAGCTTGACAGGGAGCTCCACCTGCGGCCCCTGTAGCACAGCTCGCATGGCGCGCCCGCCCCCGTTTCGGCACACCCCCCACGCGTTCCGCATCTCCATGGGGAGCTCCACCTGCGGTCTCAGTTGGCACAGCTCGCGGGGAGTGCCCGCAATTCGGCACTGTACGGAGCTCCACCCACGGCTTCCGTGGCACAGTTCGCCGTACCCGTCCTCGATGCGGCGCACCGTTCGCACGCTTCGTGGCCATATGAGGATCGCCACACACGGGTAAGTCGGGCCTGTCCTTCTGCAGGAGGAATATTCGAAAATAGTCAAACAGTAGCCTGGGGGCAATTTTTTCATTATTTTTCGATTATGTTTGGGCATTTTTTGGCTATGTGTATGTTTTTGTCCAAAATCCGCCTGTAGGGGGACAGGCCCGACCTAAACATACGGCTCCAGTGGGCGCAGACGCATGGCGGTCCTCGCGCGCAATCCGGCAATCCGCTCGCGAGGATCGTGGCCCCATCCATAGGGAGCCCGCCACGGTCTCGGTCTGCGCAAACGCAAGTCATCCTCACGCCAATTTCAGCAAACCCTTCACGAGGGGGTGAACGTTGCCGAAATGCGTGCGCAAGTGGCCCGCGTGGTCCTACTTGGCAGAATGGCTGAACACCGATGGCTTGTTCTGAGGTTCATTGGCTTACGCCGCACCGCCGACCCCTTGGGGCGGCAGCAAGAGTGAAAGACGGAGTTCGCGGAACGCGTGCGATCGTTGGGCAATCTTGGGGTTTCGGCCTGTCTTACGTAGCGTGTGGGGTTCAAGGGGGGGCCTTGTAGGGGATTGTTTTGTAGTTGTTCGTGGTCTTATGTGGGTTTCTTGGGGCCTTCGCGGGGCCTGTCCCAGGCCTCTTTTTCCACCCCTTGGATAGGCTCGGGGATCGTTGAGACCCAGCTGGGGGTGCGTCCAGGCAGACGTTCGAGAGTAGACCCAGCTGTGTCGACGAGGAGCTTCGTGAAGGCCCAGAGGGGGCGGAGAGCGCCCAAGAAGTAGGAGCCTCATGCCTCGAGCCTCGATCCACCCCGTGTTCCTTCCTGTGCGAAGGGGAGGCACCGGCCAGGGAGGTCGATCCTCACCCTGGACCCTCGGTGGCGGTCCCGGGGCACCGAAAACGGTTCTTGGAGGTTGAATTCGAGGAGATGCTTCGGGTGGTCGAAAGACCACGAAAATCTAGAAGATATCGGCGGCGGCGACGACGAAATCTTATTCTTTTTGTTTCCTCTTCCTCCTCGTCTTCCTCCTCCTCAAGTGGTACTTGGGGCTTCTTTTGAGCTTCTTGGGGGCCTCTTGGGGCCTCTGGGGGGGCATCTTGGGGGCCTCTTGGGGGGCCTCTTGAGGGCTTCTTGGGGCCACTTGGGCGCCCTTTGGGGCGCTCCTGGTGGACTCTTGGACCGTCCTCAACGCCGTGGAGGCCCAAAAGTCGGACATGTTAACATGTACGGTTTCCCATCGGCATTGGACGATTGTGGCCTCTTGGGCCCGTCTTGGGAGTGTTCTTGTAGCCCCGGAAGTGCCAGGTATGTCTGTCTGTCTGTCTGTATGTATGTATATGTATGCATGTATGTATGTCTGTTTGTCTGTATGTATGCATGTATGTATGTATGTCTGTCTGTATGTATGTGTGTTTTATTTATTATATATATATATATATATATATATATATATCGAATACGCCTACGGCGAATCACCGCCGCCCCCTGCCATTTTGGAAGCGCCTATGTGGCCGAACGTTGAGGCCAGACCTGCTCAGCTATCGGACCATGTGTTCCCCGAATCGGTTTGGAAAGCCTTCGGGGAACACGTGGGCATCTTGAAGGTCATCTTGGCCGTGTGGAGGCCATTTTGACCCTTTCGGGCCTTCTTGGAGGACGTCTTGGAGGGCTCTTGGGCCGTCTTGGAGACCATCTTGAGCGTCTTGGAGGCCTCTTGGGCCGTCTTGGGGCCCCTTGGGGCCGTCTTGGGCCTCTTGGGCGATCTTTGGGGGCTCTTGGGCCGTCCTGGGCCGTCGGAAGGCAGAAAAAAAGCAAATGCCACAATCCTTCAAACACGTAAGGGAAATCAATGGTTTTGGCCTTTTCGGCCCTTCCTGGAGGCTCTCTTGGAAGCCTCTTGGGCCGTCTTGGGCCGTCTTAGGGCCATCTTCGGCCGTTTTGGTGGGCTCCTGGCCCGTCCGACGCCGTCGGAAGCAGTTTGGGGGGCCCCTCTGGGCCGACTTGGGGCCCTCTTGGAATGCTCTAAGGCCGTCTTGGAGGCCATCTTGGGCGTTTTAAAAGCCTCCTGGGGCGTCTTGGGGGCCTCTTGGGGCCGTCTTGGGGACCTCTTGGGCCGTTCTGGGGCCATCTTGGAGGCCTCTTGGGCGATCTTTGGGCGATCTTTGGGGGCTCTTGGGCCGTCGGAAGGCCGAAAAGAAGCAAATGTCAAAATCCTTCAAACACTCATGGGAAATCAATGGTTTTGGCCTTTTCTGGCCTTCCTGGAGGCCCTCTTGGAGGCCTCTTGGGCCGTCTTGGGCCAGCTTCGAGCCAACTTCGGCCATCTTGGTGGGCTCCTGGACCGTAGGAAGCCGTTTGGGAGGCCTGCCTCTCTGGGCCGACTTGGAGCCCTCTTGGGGTGCTCCAGGGCCGTCTTAGATGCCATCTTGGGCGTCTTGGAGGCCTCTTGGGTCGTCTTTGTGCCCTCTTGGGGCCGTCTTGCGGGCCTCTTGGGCAGTCCTGAGGCCATCTTGGAGGCCTCTTGGGCGCTGTGGGAGCGATCTTGGGGCCTCTTGGGCCGTCTTGGGTCGCCGGAAAGCCGACAAGGAGCAATTACGAAAAACCTTACAAAACCTAAGGACAATGACTTATTTTGGCCTCTTCTGGCCCTCCTGGAGGACCTCTCGGAGGCCTCTTGGGCCGTCTTGGAGGCCTTTTGGGCACCTCTTGGGCCGTCTTGGGCCGTCTTGGAGGTTTCTTGGGCGGACTTGGAGGCATCTCCTCCTCTCTTGGGCGGACTTGGAGGCCATCTTGGACCATCTTGGAGACCATCTTGGGCCAACGTGGCCATCTTGGAGGCCATCTTCAGCCGTCTTGGAGGAAGAATTGGGGAAATTGAGCTCCGTGGCAATCCTCCCGGGACCCCGGCGGGACGCGCCGGAGGCCCAGGGGGAGTTCTTCTGGAAAGAGAACCAAAACCAAAACCGAGAGGATTCAGCACGCCAGGCACCCCTGCGATGAATCGACAGGATGCGGCGGATCGAAGACGCCTACGGCGAATCACCGCCGCCCCCTGCCTTTGTGGAAGCGCCTATGTGGCCGAACGTTGAGGCCAGACCTGCCAAGCCATCGGACCATGTGTTCCCCGAATCGGTTTGGAAAGCCTTCGGGGAACACGTGGGCGTCTTGATGGTCATCGTCGTCGTCTTGGAGGCCTCTTGGGCGATCTTTCGGCGATCTTTGGGGGCTCTTGGGCCGTCTCGGGCCGTCGGAAGGCCGAAAGAAGGGAAATGCCCAAATCCATCAAAAACCTTGGGAAAATCAGTGATTTTGGCATCTTTTGGCCTTCCTGGAGGCCCTCTTGGGGGCCTCTTGGGCCCTTTTGGGCCAGCTTCGAGCCAACTTCGGCCATCTTGGTGGGTTCCTGGCACGTCTGACGCCGTCGGGAGCCGTTTTGGGGGCCTTTCTGGGCCAACGGGGGACCCTCTTGGGGCGCTCCAGGGCCGTCTTGGAGGCCATCTTGGGCGTCTTGGAGGCCATCTTGGGCGTGTTGGAGGCCTCTTGGGCCGTCTTGGGGCCCTCTAGGGGCCATCTTGGAGGCCACTTGGGCCATCAGGGGGCTCTCTTGGGGGCCTCTTGGGCGATCTTGGGGGCTTCTTGGGCCGTCTTGAGCCGTCGGAGAGCCGAAAAGGCGCAAATGCCAAAATCCTTCAAAAACCAAGGGAAAATCAATGATTTTGGCCTCTTCGGACTCTCCTGGAGGACCTCTTGGAGGCCTCTTGGGCCGTCTGGGAGGCCTCTGGGGGGCCTCTTGGGCCGTCTTGGGCCGTCTTGGACTCTCTTGGGCCGTTTTGGAGGCCGTCTTGGACCATCTCGGGCGGACTTGGAGGCCATCTTGGGCCATCTTCGCGATTTTTTGAGGATGTCCCGAGCGAAACGGCCGTTTTTGCGCACGGTGGCGGGTTCTGCCGGAGCCCACTGGGGAGTTCTTTTGGAAAAAGAACCAAAACCAAAACCTAACAGCTCGTCCAGCACGCCGTGCACCCCTGCAAGCAGGGGGCGGCGGATCTAGTGGCCTTCGTCCCATCCCGCCACCGTGCCTGGGTCGTAGGTCAGAGGCTTCCTGGATGCCCGTGAGGATCTCTTGGGAGGCCTCTCGCATGCCTCTTGGAGGCGGTTTGGGGGGGTGTCTTGGGACCTTTTTGGGGGCTTCCTGGAGCCTCTTGGGTGCGGCTCGGGGGCTCGTTCGGGGGCTCGTGGGGGGTCTTCGGACCATCGCACGGCGGGGGCCCATCTTGGGCCCCTCTTGGGGCCGTCTCCGGGGCCTCTTGTGCCCCTCTTGGGGGCTCCTGGGTCGTTGGGGGGCGATCTTGCGCGCCTCCTGGGCCGTCTGGGAAACGCCCTCAAGACCGAAAAGGCGGCAATGCGAACACCGTACGACAACACATGCATTTTGGCGATTTGGGCCTCTTCGGCCGCCCTGCAGGGCTTCCAAGGCGCCCAACAGGGCTCCAGGACGGTCCCAGGGGCCATCGAAGACCACGTTGGACATGAATGTCCCGAACGAGCGCGCACTTGGCCTCTCGAGCAGTCACGCGGGGGCCCTCCGAGAGAGCGCGCAGGATCGCCCCGAACTCCTGGGCTGTGGGCCTCTCTTGAAGGGATATGTCTGCAGAGTTCGGTGCAGAGCATTCGAAGGGACCTGAGGGCACTCCAACTCGTGCCTCCGGGCACGGTGGCGGATTTGACAGATCAGGGGGGGTCGATACCAGGATGACCTGGGATGGTATGGCTCCATCCGGAAAACGAGCGGCGAGGCAGAACCATTTGCACTCTGCAGCACGAGAAAAGGCGAGTGGATGACCCTGGCCTCAAAGGGGGTGGGAGCCTGTTCCTTCTTCCAGGGCCGAGAACAGGTGTGGTGCAAGTTGCGGAGCGCCATCTGCGTGGTGCAGCCTATGGAGCAGCCAACGCGCGAGGCGGCCACGAGGCGGGCGGAAGGAGACCCCTGGGCACATTCCACCAGCGTGCGAGGCGGGCACGGGGAAGCCTCGGTGTGCACCCAGCCGGCGCACGGAGCGGTGTCACAGGGCGGGCGCGGGCGCCCGCCCGCCGACGCCCTGGCACACCCGGCCAGTTACCAGCAAAACAGACGAGACCACTCCTCAACAGTTGCACAATATGAATACTACTCTCCTCCATCCCCTGATGGCGTGCGGAAGATAGCGGGCACCCCTCCGCGTACTGCTTTTTTGCACACAGGATTTCCCGGAGTTGGGTTGTCGTTTTTTTTTTTTTTTTTTTTTTTTTTTTTTTTTTTTTTTTTTTTTTTTTTTTTTTTTTTGTTTTTTTTCAAAATGATGCTCTCGCTGAGGCGCGGGCTTCATTTTCGGGCTTCCGCTCGTTCCGAATCGTGCTCCCGCTGCAGCGCTGGCCTCATTTCCGTGCTTCCGCTCGTCCGAATCGTGTTCCCGCTGCAGGGCTGGCGTCATTTCCCGTGCCATGCCCCTGCATGCAATGCAATGCTAGGTTGCGTTCCGCTGCGCGATGCCATGCCTTCAGCTGCAGCTATCATATCCAGTGCGTACGTGCCACGTCATGCTATGCCATGCTACGCTTTGATCTTCAACGCCATGCTATGCAATGTTATGTTCGGGGCCGCTGTGCGATGCCATGCTTTGCGTTGCAAAGCTTTGTGATGCAATTCTTCACTACGCCACGCCACGCCATGCTGTGACATACTACGTTTTGCGGTGCTCTTGCTACGCCATGCCATGCCGTGCTCTACAATGCATCGCGTACCCTTTCGGGATCATTGCCCTGCTCAACATCCGACTGTGCGAGTAGAGAGGGGATCTACGCCATGGTAAGGGATGGGAGGGAGGGGTAGAATGTCAGATATGACGCGAGCGCACCTTGCTTGTCCTCTCCCCCTCCCCCTCCTCCTACTCCTCCCCCCCCCCTCCTCCTCCTCCTCCTCTTCCCCCCCCCTCCTCCTCCTCCTCCTCCTCCTCCCTCCTCTCCTCCTCCTCCTCCTCTCCTCCTCCTCCTCCTCCTCCTCCTCCTCTCCTCCTCCTCCCTCCTACCCCTTCCCCCTCCCCCTACCCTTCTCCTCCTCCTCCTCCTCCTCCTCCTCCTCCTTCTCCTCCCTCCCCCTCCTCGTCCTCCCCCTCCTCCTCTCCTCCCCTTCTCCTCTCCTCCTCCTCCTCCTCCTCCTCCTCCTTCTCCTCCTCCCCCTCTCGTCCCCTCCCCCTCCTCCTCCTCCTCCTCTTCCTCCCCTTCCCGCTCCTCCCCCCTCCTCTTCCTCCGTCATCCCGCCTTCTCGCCCCCCCGCCCTCCCGCCCTTCCAGAGTACCAGCGCTGTGTCGGGGAAGCACATTCGAGGAGCAAAGTATGATATCAACATAAACTGTCGGCGATCCGCGCGGATGTCTTGGATCGGCGCGGGGCGCCCCTCCCGGCAGCACTTCCCCTCTTCTTCGCATTCTGGGCGTCCTGGGCCCCCCCATCGCCACGGCTGGATCCGCCTTGGGATTCGGGTCAGCGCTCACCCTGGGAGAGGTCAGGGGAGTAAAAGTATCGGTGTCACTTCTTCCCTCAGGTATCGTGACATGGTGCGCCTGCGCCTGGCAAGATGTGAAGTTGTGGCTTACGAACGAGCATGGCCAGGCCATTGCCTCGGTGGTCGAGGGTTGCAGCCAGCAGTCGGATGGCGCAGTTGTCTACGGAACAGTACATGGGTACGCTGGAAAGCATATTGTACAGCAGGTCTTTGACACGTTTGTGCTCAATGGCGCGACCAGCAGAGTCATCGCCACAGCCAACTTCTCGTACACCACATCCCTGGGGCGCCTGCAGAGCATTGTACTTCCTGCGAGCATTTCACGAACCCTGGTGGACGAGCTTGGTGGCAGCTCCTGTCGGAGGTTATCGCAGCTGCTGTGGGGGTTTGTGGAGCCGCTCAGGTCTTCAAGAGAGTCGTTGTCATCTGGGCAGGCATGGAACGAAGTTGGGCGGAGGCTGAGTGAGACGCAGGAACCCTTCGACATAGGTGAGATGAAAAACGACTTTTCGAAGATGCTCGAACAAGGTGTCGTAAGCGTTGACTCTGTTTGGAACATTGGTTCGATGTTATTTTCGGACGTCGAGGTAATACTAGAGAATTTCGCGATTAACAACATACTCGCCTTCGGCATTGGCATCCACAGTGTCGATGTGAAAATGTCGATGAACGATGTGGATGGAGCGATGTGGCTTTTAGATCATTACGGCCCCGCCTTCGCCTTTCAGTTTGCGCACGTGGTTTTGGACAGCGACCTACTCGGGGACTTCTTCGTGGACGCTGCTCACAAGAGGGTATTCCCAGAGTTTGTCGTCACGATCCCGAGCGACTATGAGACCTTGGTGCGGTTGTACGACGAGGTCGTGGAACGCGAACGGTTGTGTGCGAACGTGGACGTCGTCATCACGGCTTTCTTGCAATCTCCGGGTCAGGACGCCTACGTGTTAGAAGAGCTCGAGATTGGGATGACCAGTGTGGATGCACGACGCTTCGCGTCCGCCGCCCGCCCGCTGGCGGAGTCGCAGAAGCGACTTATGATGAACGCAGTTTTTGTTTGCCAGAGCGCACTGCGCTCCGTATCGCTGCAGCCCAGACGGGGAAAGCCTGAACTTGGTAAAGGGCCCTGGCCGGGCCGAAGCAGAAGCGGCGTGCAGGGCCTCAGCTGGGTCCCCAGAGCGGGCCTCACAGGGCCCTCAGGAGAGCAGCAGCAGCAGCCACACGATGAGGAGAAGGAACAGGAGGCAGTAGGATACCGTGGGCTCTAGCAGCTCATCTTCGCATGGACTCCTGACCTAAGAAGAGGACAGACATGGTATGGAAGGCTGGCTCCATCAGGTCGATCCCGTCGAAGTCGAGGATGCCGTCGCGCCCCTCGCCACCTTGTAGAAGCAGTGAGCACCTTGCCGCCGAAGCTTCTCCTTCATGCTGCTTTCCGCTCCGCGGTGCCAGCAGCCTCCGTGTGCCAGTGCCATCGCCTCCTCGTTGCCGCGGTCGTCTGCGTGGTCCTCTTCGTCATCGTCAGAATAAACCGAGTAAGCAATTCAGTCAATGCACCCTTTCCGCACCACCATCCTTTCGCCCTGTCTGCTCCTTTGCCTTGCGCGCACTGCCTGATGAACTGACTGCTTCTGCTTCCGCAACTATACCACTTTGGCTCTAGGGAAGCGGAAAAGGAGCGGGCCTGCGTTGCGCGCGCGCGCGTCGGCCGGCGGACCGGCCTCCCCCCTTCAGCGTTACAATAGTGTGTGCTTGACGGCATTATCCCTTCTTCCCCATGTCATCGGCGGAGCCCACTGACCATGATATACTATCGGAACATATTGCAGGGACTATGGATATCCAGGCGAAACACTAATGCAGACCCCCCCCCCTCTGCGGCGAAAGTATAACGCATCCGTCACCCTGGAAGCGTTACCCTGGCACTTCGCAACCTGCTTTGAACGCAGACGAGTCTGGTTCCCTTGAGCCCTCGCAGTGATGGAACTTCGCCGGGCTTCGTTCCTCGAGGTTGTCCCGCGGCCTCTCCGGGCGCGTGCTCGTCTGCTCCCTTGGTCACGGCCGCGGGCGTCTCTCCAAGGATGGCCTCTTCGCCCTCGACCATCAGATCCCCCTGCCCCATTCAGGACTGTTGAGTGTTTTCATATTTGTTGTTTTCAGATTTTGCGGAATTCGTCAGCATTCCTCAGCATTCTCAGCATTCTTTCGGATTCGACAGTTTTCGTATGGTTTAACGGGGCCCTTGCAGACAACTGAGGATCCCGACGGGTTCCCGCTGTATTCTTTTTGCGCCTTCCCGAAGATTCTTGAAGTTTCCCCGATTTGGGCTGCCCCCCGTGGGGACTCGCATGGCTCTCCGACGGTTCCTGGGGCACTTTCTGGGGTTCGAAACGGTTCCTATGGATCCCAACGGATTCACAAGGATTCTTGGAGTTTCCTAATGGCTTCGTGGGGGCTCCTGAAGGCTCCCAGAGGGGTCGGGAGGATGTCTGATGGTTCCAGAGGGTGCCTTGGGGTTCCGAAGGATTCATGAAGTGTTCTGCGGGCACCTAAGGGCCCCTATGGGTTCCAAGATGCATAATGTGTATATATGTGTATATAATATGCGTGTTCAATCATCGTTGGAGGCAGTACTGCGGCGATTGCTAAGTTGCTGACGATTGCTGCGTGTTTGCGTACTGAGTCTATTACTTAAATTCATACGGTTATTCGTAGTGCGAAAAGTAGTTGTAGTAGTGGTGGTCGTAACAATACGAACTCCAGCGTTCGTAGTAGCAGTGGCCGTAGCATTCGTACTGCTACTTCCACAGCCCATACTATGTGTACTAACACAATGACGCAGCGACGAATGCGATTGCCACGGCTGTATCTACGATTCGTGCCTGTACTACTGCCATTGCGACTGATTGTACGGTTGAATATTGCTATTGCAAATGCTAATGCTAGTGCTGGTTCCCCTTAATATCGTTTCTACTAGAACGTGCACTAGTACTTCTACTGCAAGGAGAAAGTCCCGCTATTGTGCGGGTCGTATTCAGTGTAATGCTAATACTAGTGTTACTGTTGCTGCTACTTGTACAGCTGCTATTCATAGTCTTGCTACTACTACCCGTGCTAGTGCTACCGCTACGCCAGTATTTCGGCTACGACGGGTCTAGGTATCATCAGCGTTGCGACTGCTGTGTTGCTATGGCCGTTCCTATTGCATCTATTTTTAACTAGTAGTACACCTGAGAATGCGAGTTCGAGTACGACGACAACTACTACTGCCTCTACTACAACTAGTACGAGCACGAAGGGAACTACTCTTACTGCAACTGTTACTGCCATTGCTATTCGCACTAATTTGACTGTTGCTGCGACGAGTACTGCTGCGATTGCTACTAGGACTACAACTTCTGCTACTGCTTGTAGCACTCGTGTTGCTGCTACTTCTACTGGTGTTACAATTACTGCTACTTCTAGTAGAACTACCGCTAATGCTACTGCTACTACTCGTGATACTGTCATTGCTATTGCTTTGCTACTCGTAACAGTGGTATTGCTACTCCTGCTGATACTACTGCTACTGCTACTGCCACTCGTACTACTGGCGCTTCCACTGCCACGAGTACCACTTTTACTGCTACTGGTACAAGTTCCACTGGTACTGCTACTGCTTTCAGACCTACTGCTACTTGTACTGCTACTCATACAACTGCTATTGCTACTGCTACTAGGCCTATTGCTGCTGGTACTGGTATTAGGCCTACTGCTACTGCTACCCTGGCTGATAATATTACTACGTGGCTGGAGAAGGTGGCAGCGCTCGGGGCGCGCCCCTGGCCTGGAGAACACAGCGGATGCTGTAAGGCACGGGGCCGGAATGCTCGTCTCCCAAAAAGTCCGTCGCCGCCGCAGGGGGCCCTCCGCAGGGCCGCAGGAGTCGTTGTAACACCGTGAGCGCCAGCAAGTGACCCGTGTGGCCGGAGTGAGCGTCCCTCCACCGAGGAGTGACCGCACATCGGGCGGCCCCGTACATGGGCTGGGGCATGCGCTCTTCTGTTGCGGTTTTGCTTTTGTTGTTGATGGTGATGATGCCAATGCAAGCAGCTTATCACGTCAGGGGAAAGATCATGAGGAGGAGCTCGGCGAGATGGACGACTCGGAGGGGTAGGATGATTATGAGGAGTTGATGTCTGCATGCAGGATGGATGGAGGGACGAGGGGGTAGACGGATGTAGGCATATCGATGAGGGGCGTTTGGGGTTCTGGGGCTCTGATCGGGGTTCTCTTGCGCCGTATGGAGACGGGTTGGCGCCCTTGGGCGCTTCAATTTGGGTCGTCTCGGAGACGTTTTGTGCATTCCTGTGGCCGCCTAGACCCGCAGCGGCTGTGAAATAATCAATTTTGGAACATGTGCTGTTTGTAAGTCGATTCTCTTGTATACCGGGCTCTTAATATGTCTGGTGACCTTCGACGTTGTCGCTGGGTCAACATCTTGGCGGGTCGTCTTGGCGGCCTGTTGGCATTAGAGCCTTTCGGGAGGCTCTCTGGGGCACCCCTGCGCTTTTCTAGAGTATCCTTGGTCGTCTTGTTCAGTCATTAGTGAACCACTGCTGGGGCCAGCGTGGTCATACCTGTACCATCGTTTGGCCGATCTAGCTGAAAAGCGAGACACGTACAGTATGTTCAGACTCCGCCATGCGCTTTGATATGGTTATATTTAGGGGATCTTTGGGAGCATCTCTTTCGGTCTCCCGTGCGCTGTGTCTGGCAGAGCGGGTCGTCTGACAGGCTCTTGAGCAGCGCTGGCTGGCGACTTCCAGCGTTACTGGTTGGTCATTTGATCAGCCTCTTGGCGGCTGGGCCATCTGGGGCTCTTCTGAAGGCGTTCTTGGCCCTCGAGCCATTCTGGGCCTCCCAAACCCAGTTTTGTTCAATATTTTGTTTGCTCGGTCCCCCAAGCATGTTTGTTCAATATTTGTGTTGTTCGGTCCACCAATTCGTCGCTATATAGAAATAGTGTGTGGTCCCAGCTCGCTCCTCGGCCATGTTACGCCACTAAGACCGGGAATCTGCACACTTTGAAACGCACGCTGGCGGCCCCCCCTGTGGCTTCCTTGGTCCCTGTCTGGGCCTTGGACCGCCCCTGGGTGAGTCTGGGCTAACCCGCTTGGCGAGCCCGTTCACTTCCACCTCGAAGCTGCAGTTTTGGACCTGGTGGGGGCGGGCCACTGAGGGGGGGAATAGCTTTACACGCCTGGTGGTCCGCATGTGATGTCGTCGGAAATGTATGGGGTGGAACCCTGCGGCATGGAGATCGTGTGCCAGGAGGTTTACGACGAGATCTCGTTGGGCGGCGCCACGACGGTCGGCAGCGCAACGCTCGTCGGCGGTGCCGTGGAGCTCGCCTCCACATACTCGGACGGAGGGGCGATTTGGTCAGTTTCACGAGTGGCTGTGGCGGACAGTTGGGAGGCGACCTTCGAGTTCAAGGTCAGTGAATATTGTTGGTTCGTCTGCGCCTCGGTTGGAGGATACGGTTTTGCGTTTGTCCTGCAGGACGGCCCCAGCGACGCCGCTGCCAACGGCGACGACGATGGCGGTGGTTACTCGGGCATCGACAACAGCATCGGAGTTTTGCTGTACACGCGATATAATGTGCTCGGGTTCGGCAACGAGCTGTATGTTTATAAGAACGGCGCGACTTCCTCAGGCGACGAGCTTGCGACAGCAACCCTGCCAGAGGGCGTGAGCGACGGCAGCTGGCAGTCTGCGAAGGTCGTCTACTCTGCCGCCTCGGGCCGCATGTGGGTATACGTTCGAGACATGGAAGTCGCCCTCACCACCTTTCAGGTGGACATGGACTTTGCGGATGAGAATGGACAGGCGCACGTCGGCTTCACCGCCTCCAATCCGAGTGGTGGAGGAATTTCTACGTTCGTTATTCGAGATCTAGTTTTCAAGGGGGCAGCCACCAGTGTCCAGCACAGCAGGATTACAGAGGACGGCCTCGCGATCGGCCCCGCAGGCTCAAGCGTAAGTTTCACGTTACTTTCCTACACGTCGTGCGACCGCCAGAGGTTGAGTGGTGGAGATAGTTGGCTCTTCGACCTTGTCAAGGGATCTGAGATCCTCAGCCTCGCTCCAGAAAGTTCTGTGACTTACTCTATTCGCGACGACGGTGACGGCACGTACACCGTTGAGTTTCTGGCCGCTTCCGCTGGCACGTGGACAGTCAAGGGCACGATTAGCCCTGGTGCGACCAAGCAGGAGATCGGAAAATTGATCATTAGCTCGACGCCCAGCCCGACGCCCAGCCCGACGCCCGGCCCGACGCCCAGCCCGACGCCCAGCCCAACGTTCCTCCCGACGCCAGGCCAGACGCCCAGCCCGACGCACAGCCCGACGCCCGGTCCGACGCACAGCCCGACGCCTGGCCCGACGACAAGCCCGACGCCTGGCCCGACGCCAAGCCCGACGCCTTGCGAGGAAGTTTTCGACCAGATTATCCAGTTGCTTTCGGCAAGTCTCGCCACAGTGCCAGCTCGGCATTCTGGGTGGCGACTGTTCCTCTGTGGCAAGAGATGCCGTCACATGTGACACCTCGTGTCCCCAAGCTTGTGGACCTGTGACAATGAGGTGGTGATGTTGATGTTGATGACGATGACGATGTTGATTTTGATGACGATGCTGATGATGCTTGTCATGGTGATGGTGATGACGACGATGGTGATGATGATGCTCATGATACTGTTGATGCTGGTGATGGTGATCAGGATGATAACGATGATGAGGGTGCTGATTGTGATGATGATGTTGTGGTTGACGGTGATGATGACGATGACGGTGATGACATTGACTATGAAGGTGATGATCGTAATGTCCATGTCGATGGCGACGATTATGATGATGGTGATGATGATGATGATGATGATGATGATGATGAGGCTGAGGATGAGGATGATGATGCTGCTGATTATGATGATGACGATGACAATGACGATGCTGTTGCTGCTGCTGCTGATGATGATGGTGATGATGAGGGTGCTGATGATGATGATGATGACGATGGCGATGACGACGACGATGATGATGAAGACGATGATGTCGGGGATGATGATGATGATGCTGATGATGTTGATGATGATACTGATGCTGATACTGCTGATGATCATAATGGTGCTGATGATGATGTTTGAGGAAGGTGATGATGGTTGTGAGGGTGGTGAGGGTGGTGATGATGATGATGCGGACGCTGATGCTGATGCTGATGCTGATGCCGATGGTGACGAGGATGTTGATGGTGATGCTGATGATGTTGCTGCCGATGATGGTGATCTTGCTGATGCTGATGATGAGGAAGCTGATGATGCTGATGATGATGATGATGCTGATTATACTGATGACGCTTATGTTGCTGATGATGGTGCCGATGGTGCTGATGATGATGTTGTTGATGATGATGATGCTGATGATGATGATGATGATCAGCATGATCATCCTGATGCTGCTGCTGATGATGATGTTGTTGATGATGATGATGACGACGACGATAATGATGATGATGACCTGGATTAGGAGGAGGACGAGGAGGAGGAGGTGGAGGAGGAGGAAGAGGATGCTGATGATGATTATGATGCTGATGATGATGCTGCTGATGATGCTGCTGATGCTGATGCTGATGCTGATGCTGATGCTGATGCTGATGATGATGATGATGATGATGATGATGATGATGATGATGATGATGATGATGATGATGATGATGATGATGATGCTCAGGAGGAGGAGGAGGAGGAGGAGGAGGAGGAGGAGGAGGAGGTGGAGGAGAGGAGGAAGGGGAAGACGGCCGTCACATGTGACACCGTTCGTCCTTATTTCATGAGGGGCTCTCATGGAGCTTATTTGGGCCGTCCGGGGCTTTCTGGGGCTCTTGTATGCCAGTTTGGGAGGTCACTTGGGGCCGTCTTGGGGCCCTCTTTGGCAGTCTTGGGGCCCTCTGAGGCCGTCTCGGAGCTCTCTTGGGCCGTCTTGGAGCCCTTTTGACCGTATGGAGGATATCCTGGGGCCGTCGTGGGGCCACCTTGGCGCCGTCTTGGGCCGTCGAAGGGCCTTCTACGGTAGTCTTGAGTCTCTCCAGAGGCTCTCTTGGGCCATCTTTGGGCCGACTTGGAGACCTCTTTGGCCATTATGGGGTCCCCTTGCGACGTCTTGGGATCCTCTTGGGCTGGGCCGTCTTGGGGCCGTCTTGGATGCTTTTGGGGCCGTCTGAAGCTGACGGACGCCCGAAAAGTCGAGAATACGAGCGCATTACAGAAACAGTAGGAACATGTATGCTGCTTGCTTCTCCGGGCCCTACCGGAGGTCTTCTTGTGGCCTTCTCGGGCCCTCTTGGAGGGCATCTCGGGCCGTTTTGAGGCCATTTTGGGCCGCCTGAGGGACCATCCTGGGCCGTCTTGGACGCCTTGGTTGCCTACCTCGGCCGTCTTGAAAGCTCGGGAGCACGGACCCACAGATTGTGTTGGAGGGATGGTGGCTGTGGGAGCGCGGATCCATCGTTTACATGGGACCGCAGTTCCGGGAGGCGGGGGATGCACGCGGCACTCCGCGACGAGAGTGACGGGGGGCCACAGAGGACTGCAGAAACCGTGCCAGACAGCCCTCGTCATTCTGCCGCGCCTCAGCGTGTGCCGGAGGTAGAGCGGCGGATCCCCGGCGGGTCTGAGGAGCTGGGCAGCTTCACGATGGTCGGCAGCGCGGAGGGCGTCGGCGGGGCCGTGGAGCTCGCCTCCGCGGTCTCGGACGGGGGGGCCACTTGGTCGGTTTCGCGAGTAGCCGTAGTGGACAATTGGGCGGCGACCTTTGAATTCAAGGTCAGCGTTGGTGAAGTTTGTGGTTGGTTTTTGTGCACCTCGGATGGCGGATACGGTTTCGCGTTTGTCCTGCAGAGCGGCCCAAGCGACGCTGCCGCCAGCGGCGACGACGGTGGCGGTGGTTATTCTGGTATCGACAACAGCATCGGAGTGCTGTTGTACACATATGAGACTTGGTTCTTAGGCAACGATCTGTATGTATATAAGAATGGTGCGACATCGTGGGGCGACGATCTTGCGACGGCACCTCTGCCAGATGGCGTGAGGGACGGCAGCTGGCAGTCTGCGAAGGTCACTTATTCTGCCGCCTCGGGCCGCATGTGGGTATATGTCCAAGACATGGAAGTCGCCCTCGCCACGCTTCAAGTGGACATGGACTTTGCGGATGGGAATGGAATGGCGCACGTCGGCTTCACCGCATCCAATAGTGGTGGAGGATTTTCTTCGTTCAAGGTCCGGAATCTTGTTTTCGAGACCGCTACGCCATGTTAGTCGAGCAGTTTCTCCAGGTTCTCAGCATGCCATTTGCAAGAAGGAGCGGTGATTGACCGAGGCCACGGTCAAGAGGCCTCAGGTTCCCTGGCTTTCTGAGTTTGCGCTGGTGTGCAGCAGGTTATTTCGGCAGTTGGCTCGATTGACCGATCTTTGTTTTGCCCCGGCAAGTTTCACCCGATTGCTTTTTCCCAGCGTCTCGGCTTTCTGTTGTACGGCAGGTTCGCGCCGCGTCGACCCTACGTCTGCGACAGCACGGGCGTTCAGGGATTGAAGGTTGGCTGCGGTCTGATTTCGGCCAGGCTTGAGCGTCCACCGCTGTCGGACAGGGTCGCTCAGGACTGAACGCGACACACGTGGAGTCATGAGCCGCCGCCCCGCGTCGTCACGACAGCAGCCCGCCGCTGCTCCGATGTTTGTATCACCCTCGTCAGCCCGAGGGCTTGTCTCCCCCCCTCTCCCTCGGACGTCAGATCCACAGAAGTCAGCCGTTCACCACCAGGCCTGGCCAGGGACACCCCTGGGCCCGAGGATGGTGTGTAGGCCCTTCTTGCCTCAGCCAGGCAGGCGAGCAAGCAAGGCGTTGACGTGAGGACCACTTTGAGTTCAGGGGTCTCTGGCTCTTTCTGGCCGTCCTTGAGACCTAGGCTTAGGTCGGGTATGTCCTCCCACGGGCGGGTGTTGGACGACAAAGAAAATGATAGTCAAAACACATTCAAACATAATACTTAAAACAAACCTAAAACAATCGTCAACCGAGGGTCGCCGAGGCCAGAAGCGCCCCTTCGTTCCTTCCCTGGCATCCGTCATGCAAGCCACCTCCTCCCCCCTCCTCCTCCTCCCTCCTCCCCCCTCCTCCTCCTCCTCCCCCCCCTCCCTCCTCCCTCCCCTCCCCCTCCCTCCCTCCTCCTCCTCCTCCTCCTCCTCCTCCTCCTCCTCCTCCTCCTCTTCCTCCTCCTCCTCCTCCTCCTCCTCCTCCCCTCCTCCTCCTCCTCCTCCTCCTCCTCCTCCTCCTCCTCCTCCTCCTCCTCCTCCTCCTCCCCTCCTCCTCCTCCCCATTTTGGCTCAAGCGGACGCACGGCCTCGCCCGCGCGCGCCCCCCCCTGCGGCGTGGCGCCTCGCGGGATGCCGAGGCCTAGAGGGGCTTCCGAGGCCCCTGGCGGCGCCGACCTCGTCGAGGCCGCCGTCAGGGCCGCGGTCCTGGCAGGAGCGCCGCGGCGGACGGTCGCCGCCGTCGCCCGCTCGGCCATCTCCGCCGCGCTGTACGCGCGCGGAGAGAGGCCGACGGAGGCGGCCGCCGACCAGCCTGCTGCTGCTCCCCCTGCTGACGATGAAGTACGTGGACGCGCTGCTGGCGCCGCCGAGGCCGCTGGTGCGGCAAAGGCGGCTCGGCGGCAGCGTCGCCGCCAGCGCCTGGCGGCGGCGAGCTTGGCTGCGGGTGGCGGTCCTGGAGCTGCGGGCGGGGCAGTCGTGCCCGTGCGCGCGGCGGAGGGCGCTCCTGCAGCGGCCCGCGACGACGACGAGATGGAGGTGCTCGACGACGAGTGGGCGGACGGCGCGCGGCGCCCTGCCCCTCGGAGGCGGCGCCTCCGCCGCACCGACACGCTGGCGGAGGCGCCTGGCGGCGCTGGAGCTGGCGCGATGGCGGCGGAGCCTGCTCGTGCAGCTGGCGGAGCCGCCGCGGCGGATGTGGAGGCGGAGGCTGCAGCGGCCGGCGGAGCCGCCGCCGCCGTCCCCTCCGGCGTGGGCGAGCGGGCTGCCATGCTCGCGCAGATCGCTGCGTCTGGCATGTTCGGCCCGACCCAGCTGCCCGCCGTGGAGTCCCTCGAGATCGACAAGCTGCGCCACGTCGTGTCGTCGCTGCCGAAATGAGAGGGGCTGGCCGCCTGGGCCCCACGGTCACCTATGGTTGGGCCGCTGCTTGCATGCCCCTGGTGCGCCGTGGGTGGTCCCAGGTAGGCCCTTCCCCGTCAGCTGGCACCACGGGTGAGCCTCTCACGGAAGCTCGGTTGGTGTGCAGGCTGGCGGGGCCGATCGTCGTCTTCTACGTCGGCGAGCTCTATTTGCCCCGCCGTTGCGGGGGCTGGGCGGGCGCCCGAACCGCGTCGCGCGGCGTGCTCTCTTTCCTCCTCCCCCTCCCCCTCCTCCTCCTCCTCCCCCTCCTCCTCCTCCTCCCCCTCCTGCCTCGGCCAGCCGGGCGGGAGTGTGCGCCCTTTGCCGTTTGCCCAGGAGGGCCCTGGCCACGCCTGGCGGCGGTGGAGAAGTGCTCTGCGCTGACCTTCCAGGAGGGCAAAACAAATAGCACCTGACCAAAAAACTTATCCCAAAGCTATTCTACGTCTTGGTTTTAAGGCGTTCCGTTCAGTTTTTAGGTTTTTGGGCCTCCAGTGCTAAAAAGTAGCTCTCTGGAAGGTCAGGGTGGAGGCAGTTGTTTTCATCCTTATTCATTATTGTCTTGCCGATCGGCGCGGGCCTTCGCACCCCCCCTCCCCCCCCCTCCATGGAGTGGGTCTTGGCTGTGTTTAGCGCCTGTTGCAAGCCAGAGTGGAGTTCCCCCCCCACAGGACGCACTGCGCGCACTGTTGCAAACGGTCGCCCTTGCCAGAGGTTCCGAGCCAGACCCCCCCCCTTCCCGCCCCGCCCATTTCGCTCAATATCGAAACGCCGAATAAGAAAGTGTTCGCCATCCCCTGGCGATCATGTGAATGACCGCGGATGCGGGGGGAAAGGACCAGGGTCAGGTGGCGATTCGCGCCGGCGCCGTCTGGGAACGCCTAAGAATGGCTCATTCCGATACGGCGCCGGCGCGAATCGTGACGTGACCAGGGGAGGGGGGTGGGCCGGGCCGGTCACGGGCGCTGTCGCGAATACGTGAGCGACGGGAGGAAACGGGATCGCTTGCGCCGACAGTCCCGCGCAAGTTGCCCGCGTGAGGTTGCCTGAAAGCGCCCTCGTCTCCCACGCAGCGTGCCGCGCTGGCGGCCAGCTGGCGGCCTGCGTGAGCCACCGCGCAAGTTCGCCATGCCACCCTGCGTCGGACCCGCTTCTCTCCGTCGCTCACACGGCGGCGCGCGTCGTGCGCGTGTCCGCGCTTGCGCGCGTGGGGGGGCGCCGGGCGGCGCAGCCCGCCCCCCGTGCTCTCGGCCCCCGCCTCGGACGGGGGCGGGGCGGCCGCTGCTCCGCCTGGCAGAGGGGCCGCGGGGCGTGTTCTTCCTGGTGGCCGAGAGGGCGGGAGGCCTACTCGTCGTCGGTATCGTTTCAACAAGGCCCATCCCCATCCCCATCCCCATCCCCTTCGAGACCCCCACCAGATGACCACCCAGGTTGGGGACACGCCCCTCGAAGCCCGAAGGGAGCGACCTGTATCCCCATCTAGGGGGGTAAATCGACCAGTGGGGCCCAGGCCACGACGCTGGGGATGGGGATCGGTTAAGCGATACTCATCTCGGCCACGCGCGGACAGTAGGTGCGGGGCGCGTGCCGCTACTTGCCGCTCATCGGTTGCGGCTATCTGCCGCTGCCACATTTGGCGCTAGCCCGCCAACATCTTGATTCAGATAGGCCTCCATAAACGAACGAACGTAACATAGGTAGTGGTCTTCAGCGAACGCGTACGTAACACACCATGTTTGGAACAACTACGTTTTACTAACATGAGATCAGGATGCACCACATTACTCCAGCCAGTGGACACAAGACCGAACAGGAGTTATCAAGCGTAGAAACACTTCTTCAAAACAAACACGACTTTACAAAGTGCGGGGCAGAGTTGTTCAAACGGAAACCCGCTCACACCCACGACCGACGCTATTCGATGATTTGGTGCTGGCCGACGGGTGGCCCCAGCTCTTGCCCGCTCGCTTGGACTTGGGCCCTTCGCGGCACCCAATGACCCGCGCACCAAAGGTTATTCTTGCCTAGGGTCACTCTTGCGCGCAGCCCATCCTCTCCCCCTGTTGCAACTCCTGGGTGGACACCTGAAGCATCGGCGCTGGCATGCCCGCGGTCGACAGCCGTGCCGCTTTGGCCTAACTCCACTTGATCCGGCCTGCTCCCGTTCAGTCCGGCTCAGTCCTTGGCTTGATCTGGCGTAATCCGTATGAGGGAGGGAGGGAGGGAGGGAGGGAGGAGGAGGAGGAGGAGGAGGAGGAGGAGGAGGAGGGAGGAGGGAGGAGGGAGGAGGGAGGAGGGAAGGAGAAGGAGGAGGGAGGGAAGGAGGGAGAGGGAAGGAGGAAGAGGGAAGGAGGGAAGGAGGGAAGGAGGAGGGAAGGAGGGAAGGAGGGAAGGAGGGAAGGGAAGGGAGGGAAGGAGGGAAGGAGGGAAGGAGGGAAGGAGGGAAGGAGGGAAGGAGGAAAGGGAAGGAGGGAGGAGGAGGAGGGAAGGAGGAAGGAGGGAAGGAGGGAAGGAGGGGGAGGAGGAGGGAAGAGGGAAGGGGAAGGAGGGAAGGAGGAAGAGGAGAGAGAGGAAGGAGGAAGGAGGGGGGAGGAGGAGGAGGAGGAGGAGGAGGGAGGAGGAGGGAGGAGGAGGAGGGGAGGAGGAGGAGGAGGGAGGAGGAGGGAGGGGAGGAGGAGGAGGAGGGAGGAGGAGGAGGAGGAGGAGGTAGGGAGGAGAAGGAGGAGGAGGAGGAGGATGGAGAAGGAGGAGGAGGAGCTCCTCGATGGGGCTTAGTAGCCCCCACTCGTTCCCACGGAGACTTCCCAGAAGTCGCCTCCCTCCTCCTCGGGCCGCCCCGCCAGGGCCGGGAGCAGGTCCGGAAGGGGGTGCGCAGCACCGGTGCGCGCGGGCATGCGCGGGGCTGCCTAAAGCGAGAAGGTCAGGTTCGACCAAACACGAGACGACACCACCCGACCTGCGGCACGACGGTGTTGGAATTTCAAGCACT